GGCCGGCGGCGGCGGGAGTGTTGGGGGGGGGAGGTACTGCCGGTCGGGGGACGTACCGGACTCGCCCACTCCGGCCTGGGCGCGGGGAGGAGCAGGCACTGGAGAGCGGCAGAAGTGCAAAAGGCAAAACGCATGGGGCCCCCCCGGCCCGGCGCGCGGCTTTTACATAGGCCAGCTCCCCTCAGGGGAGGGGCTCAGCGAGCCTGGAATCCATCCGCCGGCCCGCCCCCCGATCGGATCTATTTCTTCTTTTCCGTGCACCCCGGAACTAGGCACCCCTTTCCGCAATGCACCCCAGTGGGGTCCCACCACCCCCTTTTCCCTCATGCACTCCCAAGCCCCCTTTCCACACTGCACCCCCTTCCCTCGCGTACCCCACAGCGCCCCTTTCCACGCTGCACCCCCTTTCCCTCGCGTACCCCACAGCGCCCCTTTTCACGCTGCACCCCCTTTCCCTGGGGCCCCCCAAGGGGCCCCTCTGCACCCATTTCCCTCATGTGCTCCCATAGCGCCCCTTTTTCACACTGCACCCCCTTTCCCTCGTGTACCCCACAGCGCCCCTTTTCACACTGCCCCCCCTTCTCTCAGGTACCCCACAGCGCCTCCTTTTCACACTGCACCCATTTCCCTCATGTGCTCCCATAGCGCCCCTTTTTCACACTGCACCCCCTTTCCCTCGTGTACCCCACAGCGCCCCTTTTCACACTGCCCCCCCTTCTCTCAGGTACCCCACAGCGCCTCCTTTTCACACTGCACCCATTTCCCTCATGTGCTCCCATAGCGCCCCTTTTTCACACTGCACCCCCTTTCCCTCGTGTACCCCACAGCGCCCCTTTTCACACTGCCCCCCCTTCTCTCAGGTACCCCACAGCGCCTCCTTTTCACACTGCACCCATTTCCCTCATGTGCTCCCATAGCGCCCCTTTTTCACACTGCACCCCCTTTCCCTCGTGTACCCCACAGCGCCCCTTTTCACACTGCCCCCCCTTCTCTCAGGTACCCCACAGCGCCTCCTTTTCACACTGCACCCATTTCCCTCATGTGCTCCCATAGCGCCCCTTTTTCACACTGCACCCCCTTTCCCTCGTGTACCCCACAGCGCCCCTTTTCACACTGCCCCCCCTTCTCTCAGGTACCCCACAGCGCCTCCTTTTCACACTGCACCCATTTCCCTCATGTGCTCCCATAGCGCCCCTTTTTCACACTGCACCCCCTTTCCCTCGTGTACCCCACAGCGCCCCTTTTCACACTGCCCCCCCTTCTCTCAGGTACCCCACAGCGCCTCCTTTTCACACTGCACCCATTTCCCTCATGTGCTCCCATAGCGCCCCTTTTTCACACTGCACCCCCTTTCCCTCGTGTACCCCACAGCGCCCCTTTTCACACTGCCCCCCCTTCTCTCAGGTACCCCACAGCGCCTCCTTTTCACACTGCACCCATTTCCCTCATGTGCTCCCATAGCGCCCCTTTTTCACACTGCACCCCCTTTCCCTCGTGTACCCCACAGCGCCCCTTTTCACACTGCCCCCCCTTCTCTCAGGTACCCCACAGCGCCTCCTTTTCACACTGCACCCATTTCCCTCATGTGCTCCCATAGCGCCCCTTTTTCACACTGCACCCCCTTTCCCTCGTGTACCCCACAGCGCCCCTTTTCACACTGCCCCCCCTTCTCTCAGGTACCCCACAGCGCCTCCTTTTCACACTGCACCCATTTCCCTCATGTGCTCCCATAGCGCCCCTTTTTCACACTGCACCCCCTTTCCCTCGTGTACCCCACAGCGCCCCTTTTCACACTGCCCCCCCTTCTCTCAGGTACCCCACAGCGCCTCCTTTTCACACTGCACCCATTTCCCTCATGTGCTCCCATAGCGCCCCTTTTTCACACTGCACCCCCTTTCCCTCGTGTACCCCACAGCGCCCCTTTTCACACTGCCCCCCCTTCTCTCAGGTACCCCACAGCGCCTCCTTTTCACACTGCACCCATTTCCCTCATGTGCTCCCATAGCGCCCCTTTTTCACACTGCACCCCCTTTCCCTCGTGTACCCCACAGCGCCCCTTTTCACACTGCCCCCCCTTCTCTCAGGTACCCCACAGCGCCTCCTTTTCACACTGCACCCATTTCCCTCATGTGCTCCCATAGCGCCCCTTTTTCACACTGCACCCCCTTTCCCTCGTGTACCCCACAGCGCCCCTTTTCACACTGCCCCCCCTTCTCTCAGGTACCCCACAGCGCCTCCTTTTCACACTGCACCCATTTCCCTCATGTGCTCCCATAGCGCCCCTTTTTCACACTGCACCCCCTTTCCCTCGTGTACCCCACAGCGCCCCTTTTCACACTGCCCCCCCTTCTCTCAGGTACCCCACAGCGCCTCCTTTTCACACTGCACCCATTTCCCTCATGTGCTCCCATAGCGCCCCTTTTTCACACTGCACCCCCTTTCCCTCGTGTACCCCACAGCGCCCCTTTTCACACTGCCCCCCCTTCTCTCAGGTACCCCACAGCGCCTCCTTTTCACACTGCACCCATTTCCCTCATGTGCTCCCATAGCGCCCCTTTTTCACACTGCACCCCCTTTCCCTCGTGTACCCCACAGCGCCCCTTTTCACACTGCCCCCCCTTCTCTCAGGTACCCCACAGCGCCTCCTTTTCACACTGCACCCATTTCCCTCATGTGCTCCCATAGCGCCCCTTTTTCACACTGCACCCCCTTTCCCTCGTGTACCCCACAGCGCCCCTTTTCACACTGCCCCCCCTTCTCTCAGGTACCCCACAGCGCCTCCTTTTCACACTGCACCCATTTCCCTCATGTGCTCCCATAGCGCCCCTTTTTCACACTGCACCCCCTTTCCCTCGTGTACCCCACAGCGCCCCTTTTCACACTGCCCCCCCTTCTCTCAGGTACCCCACAGCGCCTCCTTTTCACACTGCACCCATTTCCCTCATGTGCTCCCATAGCGCCCCTTTTTCACACTGCACCCCCTTTCCCTCGTGTACCCCACAGCGCCCCTTTTCACACTGCCCCCCCTTCTCTCAGGTACCCCACAGCGCCTCCTTTTCACACTGCACCCATTTCCCTCATGTGCTCCCATAGCGCCCCTTTTTCACACTGCACCCCCTTTCCCTCGTGTACCCCACAGCGCCCCTTTTCACACTGCCCCCCCTTCTCTCAGGTACCCCACAGCGCCTCCTTTTCACACTGCACCCATTTCCCTCATGTGCTCCCATAGCGCCCCTTTTTCACACTGCACCCCCTTTCCCTCGTGTACCCCACAGCGCCCCTTTTCACACTGCCCCCCCTTCTCTCAGGTACCCCACAGCGCCTCCTTTTCACACTGCACCCATTTCCCTCATGTGCTCCCATAGCGCCCCTTTTTCACACTGCACCCCCTTTCCCTCGTGTACCCCACAGCGCCCCTTTTCACACTGCCCCCCCTTCTCTCAGGTACCCCACAGCGCCTCCTTTTCACACTGCACCCATTTCCCTCATGTGCTCCCATAGCGCCCCTTTTTCACACTGCACCCCCTTTCCCTCGTGTACCCCACAGCGCCCCTTTTCACACTGCCCCCCCTTCTCTCAGGTACCCCACAGCGCCTCCTTTTCACACTGCACCCATTTCCCTCATGTGCTCCCATAGCGCCCCTTTTTCACACTGCACCCCCTTTCCCTCGTGTACCCCACAGCGCCCCTTTTCACACTGCCCCCCCTTCTCTCAGGTACCCCACAGCGCCTCCTTTTCACACTGCACCCATTTCCCTCATGTGCTCCCATAGCGCCCCTTTTTCACACTGCACCCCCTTTCCCTCGTGTACCCCACAGCGCCCCTTTTCACACTGCCCCCCCTTCTCTCAGGTACCCCACAGCGCCTCCTTTTCACACTGCACCCATTTCCCTCATGTGCTCCCATAGCGCCCCTTTTTCACACTGCACCCCCTTTCCCTCGTGTACCCCACAGCGCCCCTTTTCACACTGCCCCCCCTTCTCTCAGGTACCCCACAGCGCCTCCTTTTCACACTGCACCCATTTCCCTCATGTGCTCCCATAGCGCCCCTTTTTCACACTGCACCCCCTTTCCCTCGTGTACCCCACAGCGCCCCTTTTCACACTGCCCCCCCTTCTCTCAGGTACCCCACAGCGCCTCCTTTTCACACTGCACCCATTTCCCTCATGTGCTCCCATAGCGCCCCTTTTTCACACTGCACCCCCTTTCCCTCGTGTACCCCACAGCGCCCCTTTTCACACTGCCCCCCCTTCTCTCAGGTACCCCACAGCGCCTCCTTTTCACACTGCACCCATTTCCCTCATGTGCTCCCATAGCGCCCCTTTTTCACACTGCACCCCCTTTCCCTCGTGTACCCCACAGCGCCCCTTTTCACACTGCCCCCCCTTCTCTCAGGTACCCCACAGCGCCTCCTTTTCACACTGCACCCATTTCCCTCATGTGCTCCCATAGCGCCCCTTTTTCACACTGCACCCCCTTTCCCTCGTGTACCCCACAGCGCCCCTTTTCACACTGCCCCCCCTTCTCTCAGGTACCCCACAGCGCCTCCTTTTCACACTGCACCCATTTCCCTCATGTGCTCCCATAGCGCCCCTTTTTCACACTGCACCCCCTTTCCCTCGTGTACCCCACAGCGCCCCTTTTCACACTGCCCCCCCTTCTCTCAGGTACCCCACAGCGCCTCCTTTTCACACTGCACCCATTTCCCTCATGTGCTCCCACAGCGCCCCTTTTCACACTGCACCCCCTTTCCCTCGTGTACCCCACAGCGCCCCTTTTCACACTGCACCCCCTTTCCCTCGTGTACCCCACAGCGCCCCTTTTCACACTGCACCCCCTTTCCCTCGTGTACCCCACAGCGCCCCTTTTTACACTGCACCCCCTTTCCCTCGTGTACCCCACA